TGCTGAAGCAAGGCGGCTACCTGTACGAGCAGCTGCTGGACCCCTCTCAGCTCATCGTGCATTCCGAAAACAGATCTGGAATGATGGTGAATGCATACAATGTGCATTGCCGTGGCCAGGCAGCTTTGAAAGTCGGCTGGTCAATGGCAAAATTGACAGAAAGTTACTGCATGGAGCTCAGCCAGAACACCCAGCGACGACAGGCCCAGCTGGATAGCATGCGGGCACTGGTGGAAGCGAGCGACGGGAAGCTTGCTGGTGTTAGTGGCACAGAAAGGTTTGCGAGCCTGAGCAGCTCGCATATGTCGCAGTTCTGCAAAGCCGTGCGAAGCGGCTGCTCGTCGGAGCACGAAAGCTTGCCCAGTGTGCTGGCTTTGGAGACCGTCACCAAGCAGTACACGGACGAGCAGTTCGCCACGGCTGTGCGGCAGGGCTGGGTCTGGAACTGCATTAGTGCCTGTGTGGACGATGCAGTGGGCTGGTTTGCAGACTTTCTGCAGGCCAGCCTGAATGCCAGCAACCACATTGCTGGCCGGCTCACCGAGATGGAGATTGCCATGAACTTGGCGGCACACTACAAGAGAACGGGCTCCATGGAGGCTTCTGTGGAAGCATGCAGGGCCATGTGTGAGCTGGGCTACCTTGATGCGATTGCGGAATGGGTGAAGAAGTACACAGGAGGCGAACAGTTCGTGCTCATCCAGTTCCTCGCTGGGGTTGAGAGATCCTTCAGCTCTTCGGTTCTGCTGGGGGAGGAATACTTCAGAAGTGTTGCTTCCACAGATTTTGGGTCGAAGGAATCAACATTTCCGCTTGTGCGATGCATGCTGCTGGCATGCAACTTGAGCTCGCCGAAGCTGCATGTGCAAGACGGGTTTGCCCGGTTGTTGGTGAAAGCCGATGTGGATCGGCTGAAGACAGCGGCAGGCCGAGACCAAGCAGCTCTGGCTGAGAAGATGGCGATGCTGGTCTTGCAAGAGATAGGCGACCATTTGCTCGACAATGTGAAGCTGGTTGGTCGTTTCTTCCTTCGTGCGGGGCTGTGGCTCACGAAAAAAGAAGGCAAGGGCCACGAAAAGCATGTCTTCGGCTCGCTGGAGACAATCCACAAAGCTTTCATGCTGGAGAAAGAGAAGTCGCAGGCAGCTTCGTCTTCCAGTGCAGCTGCTCCTGCCACTGCTGCTGGTGACAGCAGCAAGGTGCTGGGTTTGCAGGCAGGAGGGATGTTGAAGCATAACTGGAGTAAAATTTGCCACCCTAAACCCTGAAATCAATAGCCAAAGTATTTTAAAAACACTTCCCTTTAAAAATGTTTGTAAAGGCCCAAACAGAATATAGAAGCTTAGAGAGGTTACTACATAAAGCTTTTCTTATATTCAAAATTGAAATGCAAGATCTTCTAAGCCACTCTTTCCTCAACCTTTCGTAAGAAGACTATGTTATGAGCAATATACAGGCGAACTATGATGCGAAGAGCATCGCCACTCAGCGATACAGCTGGCTGGTTCCTGGCAAGAAGTACATTCGGAACTCGGACATCTTCGAGTTCGTGGACATGCAAGAACAGCACGGCAGGTTCACGTCCGTGGACATCTTTGGGCAGGAGAGCATGCACGAGATTCCGCATTCCGATCTGAAGAACTTCCGTTTGACGGACAAGTTGGTTCCGGCCATGTTGGCCGCCGAGAAGGTGACGAAGCTGCAGATGGACGTCTGCGACAGCTGGACATTGGAGCTGGAGAAAGCACAAGTTCAGGCTGCAGTCTTGACGAACCACTCCGAGCGGCTCGTTTAGATGCTAGCATTCATGTTTCATAATTCGGCGCTTTTTGCGGACAATGTTGCAAGCTAGCTTGTTTTGTATCTCCTGCATATTTCATGTCACCCTCACCATGTAGAATAAAGGGTTCTTTTGGCCAGTAAATCTAAACCGATTGTAACCGGAAGTCTGCAGCAATCGTATAGCCGAAAGACTCCTGCAGGGAAAGCTTGCTGGACGTCTCGCAGCTGGTGTTCACGAACACCCACAAGATTTTTACTGGTGAAAAGATCAAGAAAAGTGGCCTGAGAATTTTTCCTTTCGGCACTGTTGTGCTGATGAAAGATGAAGCCTTGAGGAAACCAGATGCACTCGCTGGCAAGATCGTCGTCAAGGTCAAAAAGACAGGCCACTACTACCAGGTGCTGGCTGGTAAAGTGGACTTGCAAAAGGAGACAGGTGCCATCCCAGCCTTTTGCTGGGTTTCGGCCACTGAGGACGAGGAAGCGGCGACTATGGAGCTTGGCCATAGCTTGTATGCTGGCTGGTTGGAAATACCTTGCCTGCGGCCTAAGAAACCGCTTGAGAAGCATGTGCAGCTGCTCTACTACAAGGCCCCTGTGCAAAGTTCCCGCAAGAAAGCCAAGACGAAGTAGACAAGGGCTTCCTCGGCCTGCTACTGTTGCCGCTGCAGGCGGTGTGGCAAAGATCAAGTCTTGATTGCTTTCCAGAACAATAAGAATGCATGCTGTGCATAAATGATCCCTATACATATTTGTTTGTAAGCTGAAAAGATGTTTGTAGGCAAGATTTACATATATTGTTTGGTTTTCTGCTGTGAGATAATAAATCATATTTGTCCAGAGCCTAGTCATGCAGGCCCATGGCCTCCAAGATACATCATCCTCTTTGACAACAGCATCTTCTGATGCGGTTTTACAAAAAACGTGAAGTCGCTGGAAGCCGGAAGCTTCTACGTGCCGAGAAAAGGAAGAACGATGTCGCTCTGGCAGCTTTTTAAGGCACGAAAGCAGGCAGCCTTTGTAGGCACCGCTTGGCATGGAAAGTTCTATGTGATATTGTGCAGTTTTTGGTTCAGTTTTCCTGCCCTGGCAGCGAGCCTTGCAGCATGGTGGACATCCAGGAGCGGTATGCCTTGTCTTATGCTGGCGGGGAGCACGTGCCCATCCCACCCGCTTTGCTCCATTCGGCAAGTGACGGAGCCAAGTTTTTGAAGCTCAGGCCGTCGCATCGCACAATTTGTAAATTGGTGTGTGGCAAGAACCTGGATATCTTCAAAGGAAATGCAAATCCAAGCATTGCTGGTTCAGCAGCTTTGCAAAGGTTGAAGGAGCAGCTCCTGGAAACCCTGCGGGCTTCCGTTGCCAGCAAGTCTGAGGAAGCTGCTGCGGCTTTCTTCGAGGATGCCAGTTCCAATGAACCGAGAAAGACAAAATTCCAGAAGGTGGATGATGCTCCCGAGACAATCAAGATGGTCGTGAATGAAAAGGAGGTTGTTTTCTTGACACCCAGCAATGCGAAGACCACCGATCTGGTCG